ACTTGAGTAGAGGCCCAATGTCCATCTGCTACCTTAATACTTAACATATAAATATATGCACATAGATCTATTTCCCTGTCGTCATATATAAATATATTTACATATGTACATGCCTGTATTTAGACCTCTATAAATGCCCTGTGCTTCCTAATTCTTTCCTCTATTTCCTTTTACTTTCCTCCTGCCTCACTATCATGTTCAGCCTTCATTTGGGTTTAAATAACTCCTCTGAGTTACAATGCCCTTGATCAAGCCTTATCAGGCCTCCTACACCCTCCGCACCACCAATTTCAGATCACTTGTTGTTCCCTTGTCCCTGGGTTTGTTAACACCCACTTCTTTCCCCCCCCTCCCCCTCTCCCATGTCCCCCTGGTACCTTCGGTCCATTGTTTTCTCCTCCAGATCATTTATCCTGCCTATCTTATCTAGATAAGACATGCAGAGATAATAACATGCACAAAAACAAGACAGAGCAAAACAAAACAACAAAAGAAAACAAAACAGCAACAAAAATAACCAATGACCAAAAAAAAAAGAAAAGCCTGTATATAGTTCAAGGTCTGTTTGTTGACCTTTAGGAGTGTTTTCCAGTCGAATCTGATGGGGTGCTACGCCATGGCCCCATAGCCTATTTTTGGTACTCCCTCGGGACTTCCTTGCTGTTCTGCTGCATGTCCTTAGTGTTTCGCCTCAGTGTGGTGGGGTCTGATTGGGCGCAATTCCCCAAACTGTGTGCCAATGTTGTCCCCTGTAGGGCTATGGGTCAGTGAGGGATGTCGTGTCTCTTAGTGGGGCCGGCCATATGGTCCTCTCTGTGCATTGTCTTCTCTGAGCAAGGATATCGTCGTCATGGCTTGGTGGGCCAGGATGTGCTCCACTCTCTCTTCTTCCCCCTTCGTTTGCTCCTGTGTGCTCTGATCAGACATGTCCCTCTCCCTGAGCTGTAGCTTTAGTGCTGTCCTCTGAAGTGAATTCTTCTGCAGGGAGGAGGGCACTGTCCATGCAGTTGGGATTGGGCCCAGCCCCTCTTAATTTTTTCTTAGAATGTGGCTAAAATCTTAATATGTATGCAAAGCTTCTAAGCTTTATACCCTGCTTTTCTAAGATTATAATTACTTTGTGTATAACTTTTAAAGTCTTAAAATATTTGTAAATATCACAGCAGCAATTGTCAATATAGTGCCGCAAATAAAAAACAATTACAGCTTGAAATTCAGAAGGAAATGCTAATATCTTACCAAAAGTCCTAGGACTTTCTGTTGAATGGATGATTCACTTGGGAAAGACTGTAAAAAGAAGAAGAACTCTATAAGTAAGTAAAGAACTAAACATCGTAAATAAATGCTGAAAGAAGTAAATGCCAACACTGTAGCGTAAATTCCCATCCTAACCTCCAGAACCCTCATGAAGAGTTCTAACCCTTGGTTCTCAATGAAGTGTCTGCAAGTGGTTGGGGATTCATCTGTGAGGTTCCAGAGTGCACTCAGTGTAAACTTCAAAGTGGTGTCCACTGAATTTTGATTGGTTTTCTGCTTCACTATTTGAAGAAGTTGCTGAAAGAAGAAAATAGAATTAAGTTCTCATTATTGAATTATAATAACCACATTCCATGAGGAATAGTCTCCTGGCTGAAAGCATGTCTTTTAAAGGCTCTTCAAGTACACCTAACAGACCACTCTAAGACCAAAACCAAACTTATTGCCAGGGAGTCAATGATGACTCATAGTGACCCCCTGTGTGTTCCTGAGACCACAACTATTTATGGGAGCAGAAAGTCAAGTCTTTCTCCTGCGAAGCTGCTGGTGGTTTCCAACAGCTGACCATGCGATTGCAACACAACTTCTAACGACCACACCAGGAAAAAAACATAGAGTTTGTGGTAGTTACATAATCCATTGTCATTTTGAAAGGATTAAGAATGAAGGGGTGGAGTTTAGCCTGTCAATCAGGTCATCGCTTGATGACTGTATTTGGAGGTGTTAAGGAGATAAATAGCTCGCTGGAGGCAGGACACAGGCTCACTCCCTGGGAGACTCTGCAGCTGACAAGACTCACAGAACTATGCTAGTTCCCTGAGCTGGAGAAGTCATGTGGAGTCTCCTGCCAGCACTGAGATGCTTACAATGCCACTGGATCCACAAGACTTCCTACCCACTGGCCCATGATCTTCCAGCATTTGGCATCATTGCATGTGCTTTCTGAGTCTGAAGAGGTCTTTATAGAGTGGTATCAGATATAAGGGCTAATATCAGACATACGGATTTGATCTGGACTGGGCTGGGATGTTTTGTATATAAAGCTCTTTCCTATACACACAAGTGTCTATGAATTTGTTTCTCTAGTCTACCCAGACTAACACAAGGTCTTCATGAACACCTTCTTCTTCTTCTTCTTTTTAAGAACCTACAATTTAATCATCTCTAAATAATACTTGATAGTAAAATGTTCAAACATTAGGACTATTATCTTACACAATTGGTCACAGTATACACATATTTTAGATCTTGGGATAAAAAAGGAAGAGGAAGAAGGGCATAAATATTGGCAAAACCCCAGACCACTGCCACTAAGTCGAGCCTAACTCATAGCAACCCTCCATAGGTTTCCAAGGCTGTAAATCTTTACACAACAGAAAGCCTCATCTTTCTCCTGAATGTTTGTAATCTATATTCTACATTGTAGTATAATTAGCTACAGTTAGCAGGAGAGGTAATTGAATCTCAGAAATATTAAGTAAATAAGTAAATTGATCTGGTTTCTCAATTTTGTAAGTGACAGTAAAAACTGGAAGATTTATCTTATCTAACTGCATATTTTCCTTAAGAAAAAAGGATACACTGTATATTGACAAGAGAATTAAAGTCTATTTCAAATGTAAAAAGGACAAAAGCTCTGAAATTCTATTTGTAAATAATTTCAATCACAAATTTTATTTAGTAAATTTACATTTACAAGGTAATTTCATGGCTCTACTTTTAGATTATACTTTTGGGGCTAAAAGAGAGTTTGCTATAAGAAAACTATTAATGAATACTATTATTAAAGGCAAAGCATAATACAGAAAAAAAAATTTTAAGCACCAGCATCCAAGTACAATTTGTTGTTGTCAGGTGCCCTCGAGTCAGTACCAACTCGTAGCAAGCCTCTGCACAACAGACGACAGCACCACTTGGTCCCATGCCACCCTCTCCATTGTCACATCCAAGCTCATCGGGCAGCAACTGAGTGGACCCATCTTGCCAAGGGTCTGCCTCCTTTTTGTTGCCCCTTCACTGTACCAAGTATGAGTCTCTTTCCAGGGACTGATTTCTCCTGACCACATGTCCAAAGCAGACAAGACAAAGTCTCGCCATCCTCCATCCTAGCTTCTAAGCAGCACTCTGACGGTATTTCTCCCAAGACAGATTTGTTTGTACTTTCAGCAGTCTGTGGTACTTTCAGTATTCTTCTCCAGCACCATAATCCAAATGCATCAATTCCTCTCTGCCCTTTCTTATTCAACGTTCAGTACGTACAATTCGATAACGTAATAGCATAGTAGTCAGTAGTGTAGCACTAGAATCAGGCTGGCTATATTTAAATATAATCTCTGCCTCTGGAGCAGCTGTGTAACATGTTTACCTCTTTGTACTTTTTTTTTTTTTCCATTTGTATTACCTTCTTTTCTTCAAAGCTCCCAATTGCACCCAAGGGCTACTAGCAACCACTCCCACCACCTACCCCACCACACAGCTTTAAAAGCAGCTTGGAGACAAAGATATCCACACTGACCACTCTCAGGCGCTGAACTTTGGCTGTAATCTTATTATTATTAATTATTTTATTGGGGGCTGGTACAACTCTTATCACAATACATACATACATCTATTGTGTCAAGCACAGTCATACATTTCTTGCCATCATCATTCTCAAAACACTTTCTTTCTACTTTAGCTCTAGGTATCAGCTCATTTTCCCCCCTCCCTCCCTCATGAACCCTTGATAATTTATAGATTATTATTATTATTTGTTCGTGTTTTACAGTGTCCGACATCTCCCTTCACCCACTTTTCTGTTGTCCATCCCCCAGGGAGGGGGATAAATGTAGATCATTGTGATCGGTTCCCCCTCTCTCCCCCCACCCTTTATTATTACCACTGCACTAGTAATTCCTGCTTCAAAGAAATGTGATTTTTCCCCAAGCAAACGAGTAGACTACTTCCTTTAAAATCTTGAATGTTTATATATCTAGGAGCCCTGATGAGAGAAAGATGAGGCTTTCTACTCCCATACAAATCTAAAGTCTCCCAAATCCAAAGGGACAGCTCCTCTACCCTACAGGATCACTGTGTGTCAGACCAATTTGTTGGCAGTGAGGTTTTTTGGTTGTTGTTAGTTTTTGGAGGAGCTTGGTGGTGTAGTGGGTCTGTTAACCACATGGTTAGCAGTTCAAATCCACCAGCCACTCTTTTGGAAACCTACAGGGTAGTCTGAATCTATTCAACAGTAGGACTTTGGTTTGGTTTGAGTCAAAACTACTCTGAGACACATAGACAGCCATTCTAAAAACAAGATTCTCATCCCTGAAGGCAGTAACAATTGAGTAAAATCAGCATCTTTTCTAAAATATATTATATTTTGTGCTTTAAAAAACAAAACAAAACAAATGTGCTGGTGTCCAAATAATAAAATCATAGAATTTTAGTGCTTGGTAAGACCTTAAAGTTTACTTAGATCCTAGTGATTCAGGCAGTTTATCTATATTTACAAAGTGAATTTACAAGGTTAGAGCCTAAGCCCCCATCTCCTAATTCAGGGCTCTTTCTATTTTTGTTAAGGAACAAAAAATATCTCTGTGGGGAAAACAAGGAGCCTGGTGGCACTGTCGCTAAGTGTCGGACTGCTAATCACAAGTTCACAAGAAAAAGTAGAGGGTCACTCTAAGCTGGAATTGACTTGATGGCAGTAGGTTTTGGGGGGGCTTATGGGGATGGTGCGGTGTGGGTAATTAGAAGTAAGAGGTTCTGGGGGTTTTAAAGCAAAAAGTGTCAAATGATACACATCACTGACAAAACCCACCCTCTTGTGGCTGTATAGAGATGGTAGAAGACTTACCCTGACAATGAAGAGCTCGGCACCAAGCTGTGCAGTTTGCTCTGTAGAAAGCTGCAAGAAAGCAAAAGACAAGGTCAATGTCCAAAACGTATTCACTGTAGCAGACTGCAACTGCAAGGTCAGACTGGAACCTCCGAGCACCCTGGAATTCTACCATATTAAAGGTACTTACATATCTCTCGGGTACAAAGATTTTGGAGAAACAGTAATTGCAACGAGAAACGGCTGCCTACAAAGAAGTATCCAGCAAGAGTTCAGGTACCTTGGCAGCCAGGATGGAAATGATAGCAACCGCCATCCTCTGCATGTTTTGATCCTCATGGTTGCAGAGCCATTGCATGACCAGCTTGGCAGCTTCGAACCTGAACACACACACAGAGTTTCAGGAATTAATCTGGGGGCCTCAGTGCCGTTTCAGGGCTCACCTAGAAAATCATGCTACGATTTAGGAGATGGGAAGGAAATGGAAAATCTTTCTGAATAGACAGAGAATAAGAACCACGTGGTGCTGTAGGAATACTACCTTAGTTTCCTTCTGACAGCACTGTTAGGAAGCAAGGACTTGGAAAATATGGTAAACCTATTTGTCTGGCATTTCATATTCTATCTAGCATTATAGCATAATACCATAATGATAGTTTGTTTCATCCCCCCTGGTTTTTCATATTGTCCAGCATAATGAAAATATTTATTCAACCATTTACTGAGTCCCTGCTTTGTGCTAAATATTGGTCTTGATGGTAGAAGTAGTTAACAAAATAGACTAAAGTCTTGCCCCTCACAAAGCTTACACACTAGTGGGGAAGACATAATAAACAGATGAATGAGTAAAATGTTCAGTCTGGTTAATTACCGACGTGTGCTATGAGAGGAAAAATAAAGCAGGGAAAAGGGTGTATGAAATGCTGAAACTTAATAAAGTGGGTAGGGAAGACTCCAATAACGCTTTCAAGGTAATAAGACCATGTGACTATCCAAGGACATGCATTCCAGGCAGAGGGAATGGGCATTGTGTACAACAATCCTGAAATGGGAGTGCCTGGAGGTTTTGAGAAAAACCATGGAAATCAGTCAGGCAAGAGCAGATAGAACAAGAGGAAGACTATTGAGAGGTGAGGTCTGAGTTAACACAGCACCTTGGTGAAGACTTGGCTTTTATCTTTTTTTTTTGGCTTTTATCTTGAATGATGGAAAACCATTAGAAGATTCTGAGTAGAGAAGTGACCAGAACTGACATGTTTTAACAGAATTTAACTCTACATTTTACATAAACTCCAGGGGTGGGGGTAGGGGATGGGGCATAAGAGATAAGGCAGGGAAAACTGTTAAGAAACTATGCAGTAATTCAAGTGAGAAACCACTTGGACTATGGTGGCAGAAGCGGGTCTTGAGTTCTAGTCAAATTCTGGCCCTGGTTTGAACGTACAGCTGTATTTGCCAAAGAACTGAATGTGGCCTTTCTCCCTTTCCGGCCATCTTGGCGGCTGCTCTTGGTTGGGGGCCATCCTGCACCTAAGACAGGAAGGTGGTGGCCGCAAAGAAGACGAAAAAGTCTCTGGAGTCCATCAACTTGAGGCTCCAACTCGTTATGAAAAGTGGGAAGTACATGCTGGGCTACAAGCAGACGCTGAAGATGATCAGGCAAGGCAAAGCGAAACTGGTCATCCTGGCCAACAACTGCCCCGCCTTGGGGAAATCAGAAATTGAGTACTACCCCATGTTGGCCAAAACCGGTGTTCATCACTACAGCGGCCACAACATCGAGTTGGGCACAGCGTGTGGCAAGTCCTGCAGGGTGTGCAGGCTGGCCATCATCGACCCCGGGGAGGCTGATATCATTAGAAGCATGCCAGAACAGACTGGTGAAAAATAAATCCTGCAATATTTTTCTTTAATAAAATTGGCCAGGAGGGGGGAGTGGGGAGGGAAGGAGAGGGGAATAAAGGAAAATGAGCTGATTCCAGGAACCCAAGAGGAAAGCGAATTTTGGGAAGGATGAGGGCAACAAATATATAGGTGTGCTTTGCACAACTGATCTATGTGTTGTGATTAATTGTATGAGCCCCAATAAAATGATTAAAATCAATAAATAAAACTGGCCAGAGCTTGTTTTAAAAACAAACAAACAAACCCCCCAAAAAAGAACGGAATGTGGGCTATGAGAAAAGGAGAGAAATACAGGCTGAGGCCAAGAAATGTATCTGATTGTCTTATCCACAGTCTCATCCTTCGAAACTCAGCTCAAATATCATTTCCTTTGACAAGCTTTCCTTGATTAGCTTATCATTGTCCTCTGACTGCTAGTCAACCAAACCAAACTAAACTCACTGCCCCAGTGTCGATTCTGACTCCTAGTGACACTATATGGCAAGGTTGAACTGCATTGAGGGAGACTAACGACAAGAGTAGAAAGCCTCGTCTTTCTCCTGAGGAGCAACTAATGGTATTGAACTGCGGACCTTGCAATTAGCAGCCTAACAAGTAAGCACTACCCAACCAGGGCACTTTGTTCATAACTTGGTCGGAGATCTGTGATTAACTTATGACTCATTTGAGTCCCCCATTTACCTGTGAGCTCCTTGGAGAGATGGAAACATAACCCATATACACCTCTATATCAAGTACCTAATATAGTGCTTCATGCCTACATAATGCTTACTGCTTGCATGTGCCAACTGAATGATTATATTAATCGTGCTAAATCCTCTGCAACTTCCTTCAAATTTACTGTTACTTCCTTTCTATTCCCAAGGCCACCGCGAATTAGGCCCATTACTGGCATTCTGTTCTTCTACAAAAGTCACAAAATCAAAGTCGCTGCATGGAGTTGATGCAGACTCATGACGACCCTGAGGATGGACCAGAACGGCCCCTTTGGGTTTCTGACTGTAGCTGGTTATGGGAGTAGAAAGCCCTTTCTCCTGGGGAGTGGCTGGTGGTGTAGAGCAGCTGGTGGATGGCAGTCCAAGGAGTAACCACTATGTTACTAAGGCTCTATAATAAATCCTTAATTGACCTCGATCCCCAGTGCTTTCAATTTGTGCCTGTGTACTGAAAATAAATAAACCTGTCAAAGGACTAAGGTATAATGTCACTCCTGTACTTATAGCATTCTAAAAATACTTTTGTTAGGTAGCTAACTTAGGGATAAGGGGTTGTCCCTCCCATGCCTGCAAAGGCCCCCACAGAGGAGGTTAGAAAGAAATTAGGCAACCATTAGACACTTATGAAGACCCCAAACAGCATGCTTAAACTCAAGACCCCAGAGCCAGATGGGAGGTACACCTGGGCAGGCAAACTGGGCCCAGACTCAGGACATCACCCAGGTGGGCCTAACTCAGCCAATAAGATCAACCATTACCATCAACCATGCCTTCCCCCAGCCAATGGGTGGGCTAGAATAAAGACAGGGAGCACGCTCTGGGACGTCTTACCCTGCTCCTGGTCAGAGGCAGGTAGAGGGGGAGGGTCTCCTTCTCCCATGTGGGCAGACATGGGCCCACAGCTACTTGGACCACATGCTCTGTCTCTAGGGTTCTTGGGCTTCTATCCTCCCGGGATCCCCCCAAAATCCACACGCAAAAGTGCTCTTTTCCACGTGGTTGTTTGGGCCGAAGTGAACCCCTTTGAGACTGTAAAACCTGAAACTTGTCCTGTCCTTCATAAAAGCCCACTTGGATTACAAAACAGGCTTCGGCGTGAATTCTTTCATCGTGCGAGCCAAGAACCGAGGTATTACCCACTTGAAAAACCTAACACTTTCAAATTATTATTCCTGCCTACTTACACTTTCTGCAAAGCGTTTGTTCTCAAATGTACCAGCCAATTATGAAGCAGTATAGCCTAGTAGTTAAGAGCACAGATTCTGAAGTCAGTGCTGGATTTGAATTCTAGTCCTATCATATATTAATGATAATCATAAGATTTATTATTAACTGTGCATTTGAAACCCTTAGGCCAGGGGTTAGCAAACTTTTGAGATGGAAGACTGAATCCTGTCCCTTACAACAATTTAAAAATTATTTGAGAGCCATAAATATATTTTTACACACAAATGAAATCACCATTATCTGAATAATACCGTTTAAATGAAACTGAGTTTTATTTCGTTTTCAACTTTATTCCTGAGAGAGCCGCATATGGCTCTGGAGCTGCAGTTTTCGGACCCCCACCTGTTAGACCATTATCTCCTTTTCTATGATTCTTTCTCCCCTCCCCCATTTGGTACTCTGTGTTTCACCCTTCTATTACCTAACTCTTCCATCTTGGGAATCCTGGTCATCAGCATCCATCCCAAGACAATTCTGCAGAGAATGGCCCCAGGGTCCTCCCAGTTTGAAGTGGGTCTGAGAGTTCGCGCAATCCAAACATCAAGGCCCCTTTATCCCACCCTGGTCCAAGAGTCACCAGAACTCACTGCCATCGAATCAATGCTACCCTTATAGGATGGGATAGAACTGCCCTGGTGGGTTTCTAACAGGAATAGAAAGCCATGGTTTTGAACTGCTGATCTTGAAGATCACAGCCCAATGTGTAACCACTATGCCAAGAGTCACCAGAAGAGAACACATCACCTGACCCACTATTCTCCCTGAGCCTATTTCTCAAGTGAGAAGTTTATCTAGTGAACATTGGGGAGAACAGGACTAACCAAGCGGAGTTTAGAGGGCAGGGAGGGGCAGGAAGGAGTCAGAATTCTGGGAGTCTCAGGGAACAAAGAGACCCAGCTGCCCCTAATGCAGGAAGCATGTGGTATTTTGGTCATACTGTTCTTTGTCAGCACAGGCACCAAAATCTTTTTCTGTTTCTTTTGCATGCAGTATCTGCTGTATTTTGATTGGCTAAGAAAGTAAGGAAAGAACCTATACATTGGACAACAATACATTTATTCATGTAATTTTTATAGCATGAAACAATCAATCAAACTAGCTACTTGAAGGCATAGAGCTGGTATATAAAATGTGTAGACTCTGGACTTCAATGGACAGTTTACCATAGAGGGAATACAGGCAGCCAATAAACATAAATGTTCTCCCATCACTAGCCACCCGAGAGACGTGAATCCAAAGATGAGATATCACCTCACCCAGCTTTGAGAGAAAAATTCAAAAAAAGCAGAAAACAACAAATGATGGAGAGGGTACAGAGAGACGGGGACCTTTATATACTGCTGGTAGGACTGTAACTCAACACAACTACCATGGAATGCAGTATGGCACTTCCTCAAACAATTGGAAATAGCAACACCACATGGCCCAGCAATCGTAATACTTAGTAAATCCCCTACAGATATAAAGAATATAGCACAGATATATGCACACGCATGTTCATCATAGCACTATTCACAAGATCAAGGCAGAAAACCCTAAATACCCACTGGGAGAAGTAGAGACAAACAAACATTGGGGCATGTACAATGGACTACTACACAGTGGTAAAAATTATGATGAAATTATGAAATGCCTAATGCCATGTATGGACTTAGAGAACATTACATTGAGTGCAGTTAGTAAAAACAAAAGGGCAGATATTGTATGAGAACAATTACTTAAAATAAATATGAAACTTTCTTGCCAAAAGCAATAGACTTGGACGTTTACCAGAGTGAGAGGGAAGAGTGGAAAGGGGAAGCAATAGACTAAAGGGTAGATGGGTCTTAACACTGGTGAAGGGGGAGAAAAATATGAGGGGGTACCCCCCATAAAACCCTAAATTCTGCCCCCCCAAAGCTACATATTAAAAATGTTTTTTTCAAAACAACCTTATCACCTTCAAAGTACTAGACATTACACGTTAAAAAAATTGTCAAATCTGCGATTCCATCCTTGGGAAGATTTTTCAAACTCATCTGTTTGGGTGGCTGTTAGCAACTCCTTCATTTTTTTCTTTACCTCTTCTACATTGTCAAATCACTGTTCTTTCGTGTCCCTCTTCATTCGTAGAAACAAAGAGAAGTGGCATGGAGCGAGGTCAGATGAGACAGGTGTGTGGGGCAAGAGAGGCAAGCTGGTTTTTGCCAAAAATTGGACCACTGAGATGGCTGCATGAGCAGGTACACTGTCATGGTGGGCCACACCAGTCCCCCGTCTGCCACAAATCAGGCCTTTTTTGTCACACACTGTTACGCTATCGTTTCGGAACCTCTAAATAGAAAGCTTGATTAACAGTCTGACCTGGTGGAACAAGCTGTTTGGGAAGATGACAGACTTCCAGAACCACGTTTGTCATCAAACAACATTTCACCTTTTTTTGAAACAAAAACCACTTGTACACTTGAGTTTTTCCCATAGCGCTGTCCTTGTAAGCTGTGTTCAACATTACAACAGTTTCTGTGGCATTTTTCCCAAGCAGGAAACAAAATTTCAAAGCCACACATTGTTCTCTTAAATCGTCCATCACTAAAAACAAGCTTTGAGCAAAACTGTTTTTACGAAAAAATTCACTGTGACCAGAGAGAACCTTCCCAAATAATGCCACTGGGTGCACTAACTCAGAGTGAGTTGCTTGATGCTCGCCCAGTAGGAAAAATGCATACTACAAAGGTGGAGCTTTACTGATTTTAGAGGGAAGAACAGGCTATTGGAAGTTTGATAAATTGTTTAAAACAGTCAATGCAAAATTATGGTCTGACACATTTAATCTTCATCTAATTCACAATTTTAAAACAACAACAAAAGAACAGTATTTTAAAACATGAAACAAAAAAACTATCATCCTTTTATCTTTCAAAGCACATCTTAGAAAAGTTATCATTTTAGACTTAGTGGAATCCAGTTTTATAGCTTCCCTTAACCTCTGCTTTAAAATTTTCTTCCAAAATTCAATACCAATAAACAATACAACTACTCTTCACTTACTGACATGGTTAGGATCCAAAGACCAGGTAGCTACACGAAATTAGGCAAATGCTCCTCAGGCTACAAGAACTGTTTATGAGACTGCTCCGTTCCCTGCAGCTGTCATTTGCAACTCACTCCTCTCTACTGCGACTCTGTACTTTAGTCGGCTGTGCCCTATCAAACCACAGAGCTGTATAGGTCAGAATCTGCCATCAGGAGAGTTCCCATCCTACCATGACTCACATGATTTTCTTGTTCTCCAGAGAAATGCCCACCCACCTGGGACTGCTACCTGCTGGCAAACCTGCTGGCTACCTGCTGTGCAAACCATGGCTTTCTGGTCTGCAACTAAGTGATCGCTGCAAATGCTGCCTGCACCCCTCTGCCACCTTCTCTCAGACCTGAGGTGTGTGGCCACAGCAAGGCTCTGGAGCAGGCATACAGGTTAATGGCCCAAAGGCTTCTGATGCCTGGCCTTTCCCTGCTCCTACTTTCTCTTTTCATTTTATTTGCATCCTAGACTAGGAAGAGGGGTAGGATGGGAGGGATCATTTGAGGCTCTTTCAGAACACATAGTTTTAGAGAGTTATAAGTAGAGTTTTTACTATTACCATAAATGTGAATGTCAGATAATGATCATCTAAAAGTGAGGAGTAAGTGTAATACTAGAGGGATGATACAAAGAAAGGAACATTGAATCTAGAACTAAAAGACCTGAGTCTTTCTAGATTCATTAGTTAAACGTATACCCATGGGCAAGACACTGAGGACACACCTCAGCAGTTTCCTCATCTTCAAATGGAGGTCACGTCATGCACAATATTATATAAATACTCTGAAAACTATAACCAAGATAAATTCTTAAGCAAGGTGCTATGAAAACAGAGGCCAATCTATTATGAGCTGTCAGAGAACTAAATTAAGAGATGTAGATTTAGCATTCTGTAAGGTCATGCACAATTCTATCTATTCAATCTTACACCAGGAATGTCCTACCTGGTAAGAAATGACCCAAGAAAGATTTTAAAAATTCAGTTTTGCCCCATTTTAAAATTCTAGGGCTCTCACTTGCCTGTTAAATGGGACATCTTGAAGAATCCGGTCACTGCAAAGTGAGAGGAGGCAATTCTTCTGTAACTACAAATTCAAAAGTAGAAAAACAAGAACAAATGAAATACTGCTCTACAGTAACTTTTTAAACAAAAGTAGTTTCTTTAAAGAAAAAAGAATTAAAAGGTTGAAGACTGATAAAGCACCAGTAACTTCTTATAACTTACTCAGCTCACCTACTGCTGAAAGAAACACTGACTTAAATTAGATCCATAGAAATTTACCGGAACATAGTTTTCCCCTGTCTTTTCCATTAGGCAAGAAATTTCATAAACCAGTAAAAACCTGCTAATTTCCCTTCCTTCTAGTGGCCAATGAGGATGCAACCTTGCCTTCTGCGTCTCTGAGAAGAGAGAATGGCAAAAACAATGGTTGACAATTATGCATGGTGACATACAGTAGTAGGCAAAAGTTTTAAGCCAGCCTGATTCGACGATAGCTGGAGTCTAACCTAAGGCATCTGGGACTAGTGCTCTGCACGTTGGCTTGTAAATAGTTACCAACAAGACCTGGATCTGAAAAAAAAAAAAAGACTTGGATCTGTCTTTTAAATAAATTTCATATTAGTACCATTAAACAAGAGCAAATAAAAATATGAATCATTCATCAAGAGAATAAAAGTATGCCACGTAATAGTATTTTAATGGTATTAGTCCGAGGAAGCAAAATGAGAACTTTCGAAGTGTGTGTGGGAAAAAAATATGTAATCTTTTTTTTTTTTAGTTTGAAAAGTGATCTTATTTTTATAACTATGTTATAAAACTTCTTGTGTACGGTCAGAAGATTTCCTGCCTAAGAAAGAAAACTCATTATATGATAGTTCAATGATAGACAGAAAGCAAACCTGAGTCACTGCATACATAAAGTTAAGAAAGGAATTAAACCAAAGCTCAACCTCAGTACCCTTGAACTGAGTACTACTCACAGGGACCTATAGGACAGAGTAAAATTGCTCCACAGGATCTCAGAGGCTATACATCTTTATGGCAGCGGAATGCCTTCTCCTTCGGAGCAGTTGGTTGGAAGCTTGAGATTAGCAACCCCAAGAGGAAGCCACTGTGCACCAGGGCCGCTTATGAGTTCCCAGTAGTACTTGGCAGTGTATTATGTATTCCCTTGCCAGCACGTGTGGAACTCTGCACAGGTACAACAGCCGGGATTCACTAAGATGTCAAGCTTAATTGGCTAAAGTGGTAACAAGATCATTTTCACTGGATCTACGACTTAACACATCTGAAAGCACCACAAGTAAATACGGAGATCGTGAAGGCAGAATTTTTAGGGGTTAGAGTGACAAGTATTCACAAACTTTCTATTCTACCCTTCTCCACATCAGCCCTCAAGTTGGAATTTGCCCTCCTCTCCAGTCTCAGCCCTTGTCCTTTCTAGAATGCTACAGACTTTCCAACTAGGTCCGCTGTTTTCCTACTTTTCTCCCTGCTCTCCCTGAAAAAGATGCCACCCACTTTTTCAAGATCAGAATCAAATGCCAGTTCCTCATTAAAGACTTGTCTGGGACCTTGGCTGGCAGAATGAATCACTCTCCTGATTTCTGTGGCATTTAGTTCAAACAGCAGAAGATAATTTACATAGTGTTTAATAGAACATGCAATTTTCCCACTAATCCATTGAATTCCCAGGAGCTTTCCCCGTTTCCCGGACCCCTCCCAATCATTTAAAAATGCTTTAATTTATATAGAAAAAATATTTTAAATGTATATGAGTTACAGGCTGTATTTCTTGAACTGTTTATGTTGTTAGGCGTCACTGAAGTCAGTTTTAACCCCATGTACAACAGAATGAGCCACTGCCCAGTCCTGTGCCATGCTCACCATTGTTAAGTTTAAGCCCATTGTTGCAGCCACTGTGTCAGCCCATCTCATTTCGTCTCTTCCTCTTTCCCTGCCCTCCTGCTTTACCAAGCACGATGGCCTTTTCTAGGAACTGGTCTCTCCAGTAACATGCCTGAAGTATGTGCAATAAAGTGTCATCATACTTGCTTCTAAAGAGCATTCTGGTTGTACATCTTTCAAGATAAATTTCTTTGTTCTTTTGACAGTCCGTGGGATTTTCAATATTCTTCACTAGCACTGTAACTCAAATGCACCAATTCTTCCTCGGTTTCCTTATTCAATGTCCAGCTTTCGCATGCACTGAGGTGACGATGAGTCAGGTGTACCTTAGTTCTTCGAGTAACATTCCTGCTCTTGAACACTTTAAAGAAGTCGTGTGCAGCATAATTTACCCAATGTCATGCGTTCTTTCATCTTTTGACTGCTGTTTCCATCGAAGCAAGATGAAATCCTCGACAGCTTCAATCTTTCTCTGCTTACCATGATGTTCTACAATGGTTCAGTTGTGAGAATTTTGACTTTCTTTTTTCTTTTTTTTTTAAATTTTGACTTTCTTCACACTGAGTTGTAATCCACACTGAAGGCTGCAATCCTTGATCTTCATCAGCAAGGGCTATAAGTCCTCCTCATTTTCAGGAAGCAAAGTCGTGTCATCTGCATGTTGCAGGTTATTCATCAGCCTTCTTCCAATCCTGATGCTGCATCTTCTTCATATGGATCAGCTTTGGGGATTCTTTGCTCTGCATACAGATTGAATAAGGATGGTGAAAGGATACCACATCTTTCTTCATTGTAAACCACGCGGTGCGCCTTACTGTGCTACAACTATTGCTTCTTGATCCACACACAGGTTCTTCACGGACACAAGTGTTGTGGCAGTCTCATTCTTCTCAAGGCTATCCATCATTTGTGATGACTGACACACCAAATGACTGCATAATCAATAAACACAAGAAAATATCTTTCTAATATTCTCTACGTTCAGCCAACATCCATCTGACATCACCAATGATGACCCTGTACCACATCTTCCTCTGAAACTGGACTGAATTTCTGACAACTCCCTGCCAATGTACTACTACTGTACCAGTTGTTGAATCATCTTTAGCAAAATTTTAATTGCAAGTTACATGAATGGTATTGTTCTATAAGCTGTGCTTTCTATTGGGTTACCGTTCTTTGGAATGGGTACAAATATGAATTTCTTCCAGTTGGTTGGTCAGGTAGATGTCTTCCAAGTTTCTTGGAATAGGTGAGTGAGTGCTTCCAGTGCGTCATCAGCTTGTTGAGACATTCCAATTGATATTCCATCAAATCCTACCTCTATATAAATAATGACTTTAAGATGCCCAAGAACTTATATCCTAAGACTTTATAAGTTAGTTCTCCTGTAAGCCCTGCTTGAATTAAGTTACCAATCTAGGAATGAGTGGGGCTTGATCATGGTCATAAGCTTCTGGGATGGGAGAGTGCTAAGTGGCAGTGGATTTCAAGGTGTTTGTCGGTCAATAAATCATTGCCACCCAGTCACCATGGCCAAGAACTCTTGCGAGCCTGAATATGTTATGGCAATGGACAAGAGATTCAAATCTCTCAAGTTTGCGTTGCTTTTCCCTGGGTTGTGTCTTAAGTAGCTCACCTCTCCTTTCTATTTACTGAAAGTCTCTGGGATGACGGTAAGGGGGTAAGATAGTTTATTGTGCCAGCCTGGCTGATAAACACAAGTGGGATTAACTGAAGGGCAGAGAGATAAATGGCTTGGTGAGCCTTGCCTTTCTTGTCTCTTGCTGTGATCATCAGACGAGTGTGCGGCTGCCTTGCTTGTTCTGTGCCTCAATTTTAAGGCTACACTACCTGTGGGACGCCTAGCCTGTGGACTGTGTCGCTGTAAGTTGAGGTCCCTTTAAGACATCTCTGGAGCTGGGGACTGGCAGTTGGTGACCTGCCTTGTGATTGGCTGCTATGCTGACATAGCCTAGCTCTCTCTACAAATAGAGGAAGATCTGGCAGCAGACTAGACTTGAAGGACTGCTAGTCCTTGTAGTGCTTTATAATTTAACTGTTTATTTCTTGTATTATTTATTTATCTGTATATGATTTAACAGTTCATTTCTTGTTATATATCTAATTATCTTTACAAATATATATATTAAATTATCAGCAATTTGGTTTTATCTCTCTAAAGAACCCTAACACAGGGGGTTAGGTAATTCACTCTACTGAAGTATTAATTATTTGTCTTTCCTCTAGAAAAAGAGATGCTTGGATAGTTAAAACCAGAAGGCCATTGAATGGGAACATTACAGCTGGAGTTCCTCTAAAAGCCAACAACAAAGCCCCTTAAATTGCTTTCCATTTCAGGGACATCATTTGTCAGGCACTCAGTAGAATTCCTCTTGGCCACTCGAATCAGCAGCACAGAGACTACCAGAGCTGTTTGTGTTCTTGTTTTCCTTTGTGCTTTAATCTCTGGAACCTTAAACTGGGCTTAGAAATAAAATTCTGTGGCTGAATGAAAACAAAAAAATATGCTGAGTGTGTTCTTCCATCTTGGTCTTCTAACTCTAGGTCTTTGCACATTTCATTTTAATACTCTGCTTTGTTTCTCAAGTTGCCCTTTGAAAATTTCTGTTCGGCTCTTTGACTTTATCATTTCTTCTAATTTGCCTTAGCTACTCAAAGATTAAGAGTAAATTTTAGAGTCTCTTCTGACATCTACTTAAAACCTTTCTTGACAACTTCAATCATTTACTTGTCTACCGGTGCAGATGTGAGGATTTTGTTTGCTTTGCATTAAGTTGCAATTCATATGAAAGACTGTAATAGTCTTTATCTTCATCAATAAATGCTTCAAGTCCTCTATACTTACAGCAAGCAAGGTTGTAACATCTGAATATCACAGGTTGTTAATGAGACTTCTTCCAATCCTAACTCTGTGTTCTGCTTCATTAGTCCAGCTTCTTGGATTATTTGCACAGCATACAGGTTAAGTATGGAGAAAAGATATAAACCTGACACCCACTTTTCTTGTTGTTAAACCATATGAGGAATGCAATGCCATTCTTTTTGAATTTTTCATTCCAAGCATAAGAAATCATATGACTGGTCCAATTAAAAATAGCCATCAGTAATGTGAAATGGAACTAATGTGTTCCATTTCAATGTTCCAATTAT